ATATAAACTATGATTGGTTGTTAGTAATTTATAACAATCTTTTAATAATTTTATTGGTATGAAGAGAAAAAAGTATTCACTATCCGTAATGGATATATTTTACCAAAATTACACAAAAATATCTTGAAAAATTAGAGAGTAAATTTATTCAATGAAATCAGCATTGGCTTCAACCATGGCATCCCGACAACATCGGAATTTCCTGCAACTCTTAAGTTGATGAATGCTGCCATAATCCTTGCCTTCAGTTCATCTTTGGTCTTACAAGGAACTTTGTTGGTCTCTTACTCTACTGTGCCCCACACATAATAATCAAGGAGGTTGCAGTCAGGGGTGTTAGGTAGCCAGATGTAAGGGGTGATGTAGCAACAGAAATTGTCTGACAACCATTACTGTGTTCTCCTGCTTGTGTGGCATGGTGCAGAGTCCTTTTGCCAGACATAAGGTCTTCCAGCAGCCATCCTCTTGACTCAAGGCACTTGATGTTCACCTCTGTGTTGAGTCTGAGGCCCTCACTAATAAATTTGGGAGTTCTTTTCTTATGAGAACAAGCCGTACCTCCATAATCACCATTAGACTAATCCAAATCTGCACCTAAACACTCTGAAATATTTGTAGTGGCGCTTTTGGTGTGTATGCCAAGCAGTACATTATAGAACTATTCTGTGCAGTTGACAAAATCAAAAACAATGCACGTGTGAAATTAAAAATATGAAATGGCGACAATTTACCCATCGCACCCTATAATTATTATAATCAGAATTTAACCATAGACCATTTTGTACTTTTATAGTGAGTTGATGCAAAATTGTGAGTGCAGAAAACGGCCAGAAATTAAATTAGTTTTTTTACAAGTCTAATTTTTATTGAATTCTAAAGAGGGGGGGGGGATATTTTCATTAACTTGCCAAATATCCATTTGTAATCAAAGCTCTTTCTTTTTTATTTATAACAAAAAGTAAACAGATTGTTTGCATTTTGAAATAATTTCTTAATCTTTTTATTATAATATTAAAAATTAATTCAAGAACAGATTAGTTTCACTCACTGGAATATTTTTTTCCCCTTTAACTACTTAATTGGATTTCATTGAAAAAGATGCAAGTAAGATTTGGTACATCTAAATAATTTTGTAATATTAATTCATCTTTTTTTTTTGCTCTCACTTATTTAAATAATTCTATGCAGTTTTAAGAAAATACAATTAAGCAGATTAGACTTATTGAGAAATGATCTGCTCAACTAATTTTGAAGTAGGGAAATCAACACCAACACTGCAGGAAGTAAGATCATTGCTGGGCCTAAAATTGTATCAAAAAAGATTTTTAAAATTATTTACTGTCTCTGTTTCTTAATTTAATTTTTTTTAAGAAGCCAAGATGAGGTTTATTTTACATTTTCTATAAATGTAAACAGTGATATATTTTCTAACTGAAAGCTGAACTTTCACAAAAACATATAAATTGTTTATATATAACCAGTTTTAAAATCTGCATTAAAAATGAGACATGAAATATTAAAATATGCTTGTAAAAATAGTTATGCAAATTAAATGTTACCGCTTACATTGTAAATGCCATTTCTTAATAAAATAAGAAAGTAATGAGTTTTTAAAGACAAATAAGGAAAGTGATATTTTACATTTTTCTTTATTTATTAGTAGTTATACATGAATTGTTATATATTACGAATTATACTGTATTATTTGGTAATTTATTTATACACTGGTATGACTGCATCCACAGTGCCCTACAAAGCTAATATGTTACAGGACTTGTGGTTGTGACAAATAACTGAGTTTTGTTTATGCTTTAACAGTAGTTCCCAAACTTTTCTCTATCACTCTCTGTGCCTCACCAAATTGTGATTAAAAAGTAGATTTTAAAAAGAGGGGGGGTCAAAGGGAGATAACCGCTTATTTAAAGCCAGAACATTATCATTGATAACTCTACAATTTCGAGACCCTAGTATATTCTTAATATTTTAAATTATATTTTTGGCTTATGAATTTTTTTGAAAGTTTTCTAAATCCACCTTACCTGCTATTCTCTTCTTCCACATCACTGTTTAGGAATCACTGCTTTAATATTTTAAATCCCTCCACTGCATCCTTTTTCTTAAAAAATATTAATGTTTTTAATTTTATAAATTTTTTTTTTATTTTTCTTCTTTCTATTGCTTAACACTTTAAAAGTTATAATGGCAAAAATAATTTTTAAGAAAATTGATATATCGCAATTATTTTATATTTATTGATTACTTCTATTATTTCTCATTTTAAAAAAAATCGTTTGGGTTTATCAGAAAGGAACAGTAGTACTCCTTTGGAAGTAGTTTGTCCACATTGTTTCCCACCCAGTGCCTGTAGCTTCAAATAGCAACCAGGTAAGGATAGCTTGGCAGGTCCAAAGCCCCAATAATTTGGGGTCTGTCAGCCATGAATGTAGTGTCATCAAGAGCCATGGACTGTATCAAAGCATAGATGCCACCTAAAGTCCATCTACCCGCAGTCTGAAAGTCTCTGGTGGTAACGATTCTCCAGACCAAGAATGGGATCACCACAATGCAATGATTTCCCCACATGACAACCATGATTATATGAAAAGTTGATAGGAAAATAATTGACTGTGTAGAGGGTTTGTTCTATTGACAGAAAATTAAAAAAAAAAGATTATTTTGTAAGTTAAAAATGTGTATGCATAAATTACATTTTTAAATCTGATATATTAACATTTTTTTCAAATTCCTCAAAAAAAGGAAATCATAGTAAACATATAAGTTAAATTTCTTTTTCTTCCCCTTAAGATTCATCAGTTGAACCATGATGTTGACAGAGTGAAGATTGACCAACAGAGATTGGATAATGAATTGGATTTTATCCGTTCCCAGCAGAAAGAGCTTGAGGATTTGCTGACCCCTCTAGAAACTTCTATGGAACAACTGCCCCCTCTCAGCTATCAGCACCATGCAGACATTGAACGTGAACACACGTAAGTTAGACAACACTTTCTCTTTTGTTAAATTACCTTCTAGGATCAAAATATTGAAGCATTAGTCAACTTTAAGACTGATTCACCTGTCTCCCTCTAGTAACCTTGAACTAACATGAATAGCAGTAAAGCAAGAGAGATGACCCCCCCCCCTTAATAAAATTAAATGACTTAACATGTGAACATTTTCCTACATTAAATTTTTGAATCTTAATTCTTCAGTTAATAATTGAATTAGCTCATGGCAATTTCTACAAAATATTGCGGTAATAAATGCTGTGCAGTTTATTTTTATAGAGGCACAAATGAAAAGATTTGAAATTGACAACTTTGCCATTTTAAACAGACACTAAAAATTACTTTCTTGCATTTTCTGACTGAAAGCAAGTAGTGTCTGATGTATCTTCACATACAATCACACCAGAATAGTCCATAGTGGTAGTGGGACGGTGTGACAGTTCAGAATTTCCGGAGTATGCACTGAAAAGATTTCCTTAATGCTGTAGTGATCTCTAAGTCAACACAGTAAAGATCTATTACTTGTCTCATAAGATTTCCAACGATCAAACAAGTGGGGTTTTTATTCAGTTCTTCAATTAATATGATCTTGATAATTAACAATAAACAAGTTATACACCTTTATTTTGGACCTTCACCAAAGGATTTACATGAAGTAATGGGTGACTCTTTGTAATGAACAAGATGTGGATAAAACTGAAATAGTTCCTGCTTAATGTCATTCGCCCAACTAATATTCCATTTTCTCTGACCTCACCCAGATAAAAAATGTCTGCTCTATTCAAAGTGAAATTGAATAGGTATTTTTTTTTTTTGTAACTGAAACCCTACATCTTTTGAAGACAACTAGATAGCATAAAGTTTCTTTGCAATACATGTCCAATTTTAAAACTTCAAATGAAATAAATGATTAACAAGATTCTCTTGTTCCCACCCTCTCTCTCCCCTTTCATTAAAAGGTACCAATTAGCTGAAGGTATTGATGGCCAGTTAAAGAGGATGGTGTTGGACCTTAAGGAAATAATTGACCACTTAAATACTACAAATAGCACAGAGGAAAATACTGACCCGGTAAGTAAGAATTATTTGTTGCAAGCAGGGAATAAACATCAAAGGCCAATCATGACTAGGTCTCTCTTTTTTTGTGTGTGTGTTGAAAACTTTCAGAGATTAAATTTAAGTGTAGGATTTTCCAAAAGCTGCATTACCATTCATAAGCTTGCACACTTTTATATTTAACAAATGGAATCTTGTCTGTATGTGACATTGTATTAAAGTGTAGAAAAATCTTCCAATGGTCAAGCAACTTTTGAAACATGTTGTACAAAAAGAATTATTCATCTTTCTATGTACTTTGGTTAAAAAATTATTTTAGTAAGTGTTTTATAGATTTGTGATCTTTCTTTTAAATAACCACTTTCCCCATACAAGAAGCAACTAGGGAAGCCCTACTCTTTGAAGTTGGTCTGCTTCCCCACTTGTTTCAAATCTACCTAGTTCTTTTAATTGCAGCAGAATAAGGGTGCAAAAGAAAGGTAGTAACCTGTCTCATGTTCTGTTTAATCAATCACTTGTTTTCTTACTTTCCTTTCTAAAATTTTTACTTCAGATCCACCAAATCACCAAAATTTTGAATGCTCACATGGACTCTCTTCGTTGGATTGATCAGAATGCAGGTAACTAAATGGTTTTTGCTATGCTAGAATTTTTCATTAATTGCTTCATAACATCTCTGCTCCAATTAAATGTTCTGACATCTCTCCATTGCAGGTTTATTGAACAGAAGAGTTGAAGACATTTCGAAGCAAATGGAGTTACAAAGGAAAGAACAGGAACGGAATTATCGTCTTGTCTACAATTGAAAAATTTTGAAGTAAATTTAAATTTTAACCATGTTTTGAAACCTGCAACAGAAATAAACTTAAAAAACAGGCAAAAAGTGTTCTTTTCAATTTTTTTTTTTATTATTCAGTTTACATATTGTCAAAGTCTTTATGCCACCAGAGCAGATGCTGTAGAGGATTCACTGTAAAAAAAAAAAAAAAAAAAAATAAATATTAAATAAATAGTACTAGTAGTAATCTGCAACTGGTGGATAGCACCATGATCTACTTAATGGAATCTCACATTGTTAGACAAAAAGCACTTCAAACCAGTGCTAGCAATGCCTTCTCAGATAGGAATATCAGCAAGATTAATCAGACATATGCTTGACTTGAAATTCATCACTGAAGGAAAACATGACCAAGTTATTTTCACAAATTGAAAAAATAAGAAAGAAAAAAAAAATTTAACCAATGAGTATTTTTAAAAATGCAACTTGAAATGTGTATGAAATATATACAAATTGTTAAAAAGAAAAAAGTTTCTTACCTGGAAAACAGCTCTTTTACCTATGTGCATCTTCTCAGATAAGGATCTCAACAAAAATATTCAGATATATGCTTGTCTAAGGTTTTATCATCATTGCAAGTGCACAAGGGGGGGGGGGTAAAGGCCCTTCACAATACACAAAAGCAGATACTTACTATTTCCAGTTGGGAGGAAGAACCCGCTTGGTTTTGTAATATCGAGCCAAACGATGGATTCTGCTTTCTACCAGAATGAGACGGAACTTTGAATCTTTGTCCTGGAGGGAAAAAAGTTTTGGGAATGAGAGTACCTACATAAACTTTTACAATTGCTCTTAACACCAAGGTTAATCAAAATAAGTTTTCTTCCTTTCTTTTCTAGTGGAAAGATTAAAATAATTTGTATCTATCCTAACAAATTGAATCAACCAAAGATGTTAGAAACAGATTTTCATGGAAAGATAATGCACTAATCATAGAATAATAAAAAATTTGCATGCCTTCTCAGACAGGAATATCAGCAAGATTAATCAGATATATGCTTGTCTTGGAATTTCATCACCGAAGGAAAACATGCAAATACTTTGAAATGAGAGTAAAAATGCAAACTAGTACTTGTGAAATTTTCATGTGCAATAATGCAACACAACAAGTTCAAAAAATTAATGGTCTAGTATATTATATTTAACAAATACAGCATAAAAAAAAAAACTTTTTGAATAGCTTTTAATGATTTCCTATTATCATAGATCAAAATAAATGCCACCCCCCTTTCTAGTGGGTTGTGGCAAGATTAAAATGTTGACTTATGGAGAAGACAGGAGCAGATTACTAAAAATCTTAAATGGTTGTTTTCACAATGCAATGTGCTTACCTTTCTGTTTCTTTCCATGTGTTTTCTCACAGAAACAGCCTTTTTGATCAAGTGGTAAAGATCTTCAGGGATTTTAGGAGCAAGACCCTTGGCTTTAAGAATCCGCAAAATTTTGTTTCCAGTCACAAATCTCACTTGAGCAACTCCATGGGAATCCCTCAAAATGACACCTATAAATAAAAAATAAAATAAAATGATTGGAAACAAAGACAGAGTGAGAGTAATATGGGCCATTATTAACTTTTGACTAGTTTAATGATCAATTGAGCTGAGAGATAACATGGCTGATAGCATATTCAAAGCTCTCATTCTTCCTGCTTATTGAGAATCTATAGACAGTTATTTGCAAGCTATAATACAACAGCCTTTATGAAGCTTGTGTGAATTGAGCCTAATAACAAATGTCCTTTTAGGAAGGAGGATGTTAAATGGACAGAAAAATTAAGAAGCCTGTGCACATTGAATAAAAATCCTGTTTTTCTTACGTCAGCAGATGCGCTATGAATTAGCATAGCAAATTTCAGCATCTTTTTTGCAGTGAAATATCCAAGTTATTTGGAAGTTCTTGCAAAATTAAAATTGTCAATTTTTTATGAAACTCAGGACATACACAAATTAAATTATTTCAGAAAATCTTGGTAAAAGAAAATTAAGTGCTAAATCACGTTCCAAACCTTTCTAGAACCTCCCACTCCATAAGGACAACACTCACCAATTTTAGATGGAGTCAGGCCCTTTTTAGCAAGTTTATAGATCTGTTCCTTTACATCTTCAGATGTAAGTTTCAGCCACTACAAGAGGAAAAAAAAAGAAATCATGGTTAAAAGAATCAAGTTATCCAACTACCAAGACTGATTCATGCAATTGCAAACTTTTAAATCAGGAATAAGAATGATTTTAAATGTTTACCTTTAAGAATTAAAAAAAAAAAAAAAGCAATCTATATGTTGTCACTCAGAAACTAAATTCATCATAACTCAGAGAGCTGGGATTAGTATTTTGCATCACAGTGACATTAAAAAAAATGGGTGATCAAACATTTTTCTTTCTATCAACTTGAGCATAAAAGCTTTATTAAAATAAGTTTTACCTATTATTATTATTCAGATCAAAATAATTGTTAAGTTAATCCATTTATAGTTGGAAATATCTAGACAAGGATAGGGGAAAAGCATGTTTTAATTAGTTGCTATTAAGACTAAAACCATACTTACGGTTGGCACTGAACGCCTGTACGGCAATGCAGATTGGGAAATACCCTTTCTGAAAGGGAGAATACAAAATAGTAAATTTCTTAAAAAAACTTATTTTTGCATAGCCATTTTGTTCCTTCTGGACCCATTCAAAAAAAAAAAAAAATGGCAACACTAAATATCAGTGATGTTATCAAACAAACAACAAACACACAAAAGGTAAATGAACCATCAATAGGAAAGGTTAGTGATATATTAGAAAATAATGGATATTAGAAACTTTAAAAAGGTTTGCTGCCTTAATATGGTGTGCTTCTATAGGATTATGTCTACTTTGGAGGGGTTCACTGGACTCATTCCAAGAATATCAACATCAAATATCAGTATACGTTCACTTTATATATTAGTAATCATTGTCAAGTGAACACAGCAGACATACAAACATGCAACTCCAAAATTTTTAAACAATCAAAATGCAAATAAAAATGAGCAAGCAGCTTATTCAAAACTAAGTTACACTTTCATTTAAAACAGTATCTGGAGCTCCATTACATCACTAATCTAATAAAAAAAATAAAAATAAAAAATAAATAAAAAAAAATTTTTTTTTTTTTTTAAATTATAAATTCAAGAGAACACATTAAGCAAATATTATTAGTTAGTCCAAACCCATTAATAAAATTGAAGCAAGTGCTAGGTAATTATTTTGAATTTTTTTTTTTTTGTCTGCTAATGAATACACAAGTGCATAAGAAAAAGGGAAGTGATAACTGCTTAGATGATAACAGCCTCCCCACCTTTACGGTTATAGAACAAAAAAGCTAGAAGCATTGTTGAGAATTTGTTCATGTAGTTCCAGTTCAATTAACTTTTTAATAAAACTGATTTGATACAAGAGAAATCTATCATAGCAATTTAGTTATAACTTGTTCATCATGTTCAATGGCTACTTTATATTATAAAATACTATACAAAATTTTTAGAATTCTGATCCCCAAGCTTTAGAAAGCTATGAGACATCAAGTATCCAATATGGGTAGAAAAAATAATTTCACTGAAATTTAGCCTAAAATTCAAAAGAACTTTTAGTTTCTCAAATTTCAGTGCCAAAAAGAATCATGAATCTTTATTTGCTTAGCACTAAATATCTATCATCAGTTTACCTCCTTCAGGGTTTTGAATTCACAGCAACTCTCGTTCTAGACTGGTTGCAAACAAAAGCTAGTCTTTCATAGTTGGAGGCTGAAAACAAACGAATTTATGTACTTCCTAAAAAAGAATTCGTATGAAACGAACAGAAATCCTAAATGAAATTTTAACAACTCGTGAATTCGATTTTTCATTAGACTCCCTAGCATACCCATCCTGTTTTGTTTATTTCCTCAAATTATCAAGCAAAGATACTCGGGCTGTAACAAAACACGATCAACGTTTCTAGTAATTTTTGTATTTTTATTCAATTATCAAGAAAAAATGTATTCCAACGATGAAAAGATAAGTACGCCTTTTTGCTAAAATGTATTTACTTTATTTTTACTAACTGAACAAGTGCCCTTGCAACAAACGTTGTAAGGCAAAATAGTAGCATCATTCACTACGAATATTTTGTATTAAGAAAACCAAACTATTAAAGGGCAAAATTATTCCTATTTGTCTTTCTTGCCCTCAGAATTGGTGATAAGGTTCCGTGAAGCTGTCACGAGATTAAAATATACTCTAGATTTATTTTTCTTTGTTCCAAGTCGTACAAAGATTTTATACAAGTTTACATTTTTGCTGTCACACGTGAGAGTTAGTAAGCAGAATTCGAAACTAAAACATGTTAGAATCCGTCAATGCCCAGAATTTGCAATATTTCAATTCCAGAAGGGCCTTTTAGTTTTTGCCCATTAAAGTGGAGAAAAAAAAAAGACAACTAGCATTTTTTTTAACTGGATCGATTTAATATTTCATCGAAATGTGATCAGCAAATGAATTCGCCACTGGAAGCACCAAGTCACTCAGAAACTAAACTCATCAAAGATTCAGAGAGCTGGGATTAGTGTTGCGTCATCACGGTGACTAGATTCCAGCAGGATTCATTTACTAAAATAGGTTTGTTGAAATTATTTAACCCTTATATGATAATTATCTTTTAAATAACCCCCCCCACTTTAGAGCCACACATCCAGCTACTATCACCGCATAAACGCTCAGTTCTGTTCTCAGTTTATTTTGACAGTCAAATCAAAATTTATAGTAGATTTTCACTCGGAATCAATTTATTTATTTATTTATTTTTTTTTTAAATAAGAGGTGCTTTTTTCTAAAATTAAAATAAACAGCATTAGAATAAAATGGCTACTTCAACCACATGGCTCGATGGATCTTAAACTAGTTAAGAAATTTTATTAGTTTCGCACTCCTACATGACACTGTCAACCACACAACGTTGTCTTCAGTTCTTGTTTTAAAAAAAATATACATTTCCATTTTTTCTTAACATTTGTTTCATAACTCGTGGATTTTTATTTGAAATAATACACTCCGTTTCTCGATCTTTCTAGCTTTTTTAAAACCATTGCTAATGTTTGTAAATTAAATTTAATTATTACAACAGTCCAACTGATATTTTAAATTAATTTTATGAAGTTTTAAAAAAAAATTTTTGTTTCTTTTTTTTTGGGGGGGGGGGGGCGAAAGCGTAATAGCGCCAAAATCTATAAATATTGTACAAACTAAAAAAAAATAGGAAAATTTAAACAGGTGAGGCATCAGTGTAGCGTATAATTCAAATACATTTAATTATTCAGAGGCAATATCATCATCATTTGCCATCACCAATATTTTAGCGTTAGAAAAGAAATTCATGACAAATTTTAGTAGTGTCCGCAAAAATAAATTGTTAGACAAAAAGCACTTCAAATATTTTTAAATAGCTATTATTATTTATTCGAAGTGTTAACATGCAGCGACTTGAATTTGTGATTAAAAAAAATAACTATGAATTTTAGTAAGATCAAAAATATAAATTTTCAGCAATAACTTAAAAACGGTTTACAAATTTCACACGCTTGTGATTAAACTACAATTTACAAATTTCAACGATAACTTTTTTTTTCATTTGATATATAGTCAGATTTAATTTTAAGGTCGATTTGCTTTCATGTATCATTAACACGATTACTTTAATAAAAATTCTCTAAAATCTATCGTCAAAATTTTTTCCAAAATGGAGGCCGTTAGCATTTAAATATTACATTTACATGGCTTTTGTAGTTTAGGGTAACTGAGAAAAATTCCTAAATACAGTTCACCGTACAAAAATTACTAAGCACAATTTCATCAATAAGAATAAAATTGTGACACGATCAAGCCAAAGCGAAAAAACTTGTTTTTTTTTCTACAAAACGGTTGCACACGTGCCGACTTCGTCCGCCATGAAAGCGAACAAAATTCCAGCAATAAATTTGGTAATTTAGTGATTTAAAACCCAGTAACTGTTAAAATTTCACGCTGAAGTGGCAAAGGGAAACTCTAGAAATTATCTTAAAATATAATAATATGATAGTGGTCAAAACAATCGTAATAAAACCCATCTTCTTTTACTCACCCAGGACAGTGCATACGACCCATGGCGGAGCGTTTTCGGGAAAGAAAGAGCCCGGATGCAAAAAGTCCCACAATGCAAAGTAGCGCTACAAAGCTAGCTTATTAAAGTCATTTTTACGTACTTTTTGTAACCTTCATAAACAATATAAATAAACATTATATTTTTGTTTCAGTATTTATTTATCGAGAAAATAAATTGTAGCACTATTTTTATGCTAAATTTAATGTTTTAGATACGAAAGTAATTTTAAAAATAATCCAGCAGTAGACAATGATGGAGGCAGTTGAGTTGTTGCAGAAGATTTGGAAAGTAAGGAAATAATGAAATGACTTGTAAAAGCTTTTTTTAATTTAGAGTCGGTGAATGCGTCAGCGAAGAAAAGGGAGCCGAATATGACGGGTTACCATTTCTCCAGCTCATTTCCTTGCAATCTGCTGGAAAGCCGCAAAAGAAAGCCTTTCTTCACGGGCACCGAAACACTTTTTCTCGTGGAGCAGTTTGAGAAACACAAAGACATTTTAACAGCAAAGTTCTGCAGTACAGAAACAAACCGGAGGAAAAACGAAATTTGGACGGAGATTACGATGGGGTTGCATATGAGGAACCCGAATGTGAAAAGGACAGTGCGGGAAGTGAAGAAAAAATGGAAGAACATTGTTTCCATGGCGAAAAAAGAGGCGATCAAAGCAGCCGAGTACGGAGGTACTGATCCAGACTCTAGTCCCCGGCTTATCTCTGAGATCAGCCAAAGGGTTTTGGATCTTTTCGCTTACCTGCCATCTTTACAGAATATGCAGGCACTTGAAAATGGCCAGGAAGATATTTCCGAAATGAGGGGTTACTATGGAGATGGCAATGGCAATAGTAACAACAACAACAATGATCTTTTCACGTTGATTAGGAATGATACCAGGCCCACTTCTCCGTCAGAAGGGAGTGAATTGTCCACAACAGACGGACAAGATGGGGAAAGAGAACGGTCAGCGCCTTTTGGCGATGTTATGCCTTCCACGTCGACTTCTGTTACTACATATCGTCCAGAAATAGAAATGGTTGACCTGATCAAATGCGAAACTCGATCCACGTCTCCGTCCATCATTAGTGACAATTCTGTGAATGACTGCCCGTTAGAAGAGAGGCTGAAATCTGAAAATCAACTCGAAGTATCGTTAAATCTTCCCTTGGCAAGCGATCAAGAGACTGAGAATATGGTCGCATCAGCTGGAAGTACATCGTCCATTCGTCCCTCCAGTAAGAACAATAGTACCAATAACAGTAACGAGGAACCCTCATCAGAGCCCCTTATAGAAAGCCTGCCATCGTCAGTACACGCTGAAAAATTAGAAATTGTAAGTATCAGTAGTATACATGACCCAAACCCTTCAAATGTCACAACTGTTATAGAAGATATTGACCTCAACCGTCAGGAAAGTTATACCATTTCCAAAAATAACCCTAAAATTACGGCACCAACGTCAGTTGTCCCTACTACAACTTCTGATGGTAAGATTACTGACAGAGTTCCTACCATTTCACCTGCCACAACAGCCAGCATAGCCCTGACAGCCTTGTGCCAGTCAACTTTGCTTACAAGTAATACCAGCAGCTGTAGATTAGGAAATTTGTCTTCTAAATCCCATAAACAGTCAGTTGATGAATTAGGAGTTGATGAGCCATCCCAGAAAAGGCTTAAGTCAATTCCTCCAGAATATCTTGAACTCCACCAAGCAGTTTTGCTTTTGGAGAAAGAGAAACTACAAATTGAGATAGAAAAGATGAAGCGTGAAGTAGTAAATCAAGAAAAAATGACAGAAATTCTGGATATTGCCAAAGATGTTTTTGTCTCATTACGAGAAAAGATATGAAGGGTGAGAATTTTTTTTTTTTTTTTCCAAAAAAAGGTAAACTAATGTCCCTTCTATCATCTTGCTCATTTTGTGCTCTTCAAGAATGAAAGGGAGAAATTACCGTAAATGTCTAAATAACTGGTAAAGGATAATTATTTCAATAATATTAATGTTAGGTGTATTGAAATAACTGCTAATTAAAAGAAAAAAAATGCTTAGTCTTTTGCTAGACTGAGTGTCAAAGTTTTGGGGGTTGCTTCAAGTTGATCTTACTGCTGCTAAAATACATAAAACCAAAGAGAATACCAGACACAAGTGTTGTCTGTGACTCAGGTTTGATTCCCATGACATTATTATGATAATGGTGATTATTACTATTATATCTGCTTCTTCCTTGAAGAATTCTTAAACTGCCACAAAAAGCATAATTTGGTTAGGACATTTGGAATGCATTTTGTGATTTCTAACATCAATTTTTAAAAAATTCTCTCTGAAATCTCATTTTCATAACAAAGCTACCAAAAAGGCCATTTTATGCTTATTCTAATTTCTTGCAAAGTTTGTTCTAAGCTGTGCTCTCATCTGTGTTAAAAAAAAAAAAAAGCTGACAAAATTGCAGTTGGCAAATACCTAATAACCTGTTTTGAAAAACAGGACTTTCCTTGAAATATGAGAGAGAGACAGAGAAATGAACAAACTCTCAACAATCTTTTGAAACTGCTTATTTCATAGTTATTTTTCATGATTCACATGGCTTAGGTATTGTACTGGGCACAGATGAGAATAGTGGGGGTACTTTTGATAACAAAAGCAAATATAACAAAAATATAACAATGTAAAAACAAATTCTAATCAAAGGGTTATTGTAAATTTGAATAATATCCTCCAACATTTACATATGCGTGTCTAGGGAATTACTGTACTAATTGTATATAAAGATATTTAATTTACTAAGACTTGTTTTATATGGCAAAATGGGTTAAGAATATTGTATTCTGTTAATCTTCCAAATCAGTGGGGTGCAATCATAGTTTATTCATATTTATACATGGCCTTCTGAAAGTTAGATTTTTTTTTTCAACAAACTTCTATGGAAGCTTTCAAGGGATTTTTTTTATATGTAATTGTCAGTGTTTTTATTGTTTTATTTGAGAAAATTTACTTTTTTTTAATTTCTTAATCACAGATTTTTTAAAATAGAAATTTGCATATTGATATGTATATTGTTGGAGTTTGGCACAAGACCACATTCATGGAGCCCCTAATGAAGAACAAACTTAATGGCTTGTGTAAATAGCATGTCATTCTATAACAGGTTCTTTTACAAACTTATTCTTGTGGAATTTGTTACAAATAGTGTTACTTTCTGTCTGAATTTCTGGGATGAAAAGTTACCATTGTTTACATTTGGACTAATGTCCTAATCTTTGTTCTTACTATCACAACGTTTCAGCTCTCCGGGATGAGGACTTATTATTTACATTTGGACTAATATACTCATCTTTGACATCACAACAAACATACTAACATTAGGCTAAATGTAAATAACAAAAGTGTTAGAATCAAGTTGGATAGAAAAACTGGAGATATTTGTGCCAGAGTGGTATCAGAAATTTTGAAATCAGTCATATTGACCGGCTAAGAGATGAAAGACAATGGCAAAAAGTTTTTTGTGTTTTTTTAAATTGACCATGTATTAGTATGCATAAGAATTGGTAATTATTCGTATTAATTAATTAAATATATGGTAGTTATTCGTATATATAAATTAAAATTGATAATAACCTTAGAGTATTTTGCCAATATTTGTCTACTTTCCGATGTCACTTCTAAAAGTGTCCAAGATGCATTCCTCTATGCATGGCAAAGCAACAACTGCTCTTGATAATTCCTGCAATGCTACCATTTCTTTGTCCAGGCAAAGATTATTTTGATCATCTTAAATAACTTCATTCTCAGTTTCATTCTCCCATCATCATTGTGGATGTGCATGTGGTGTAATGGATAGCAGTTCAAATTAAGAAATCAGAGAGCTAAGTTCAAATTCCAGTTGGGTTCATTACATTTACTTATATACAAATAGTTTATAATACTAATAGGAACTACCAATTCTGATGCATACTGATACATGGTCAATTCTAAAAAAAAAAAAAAACTCCCTTAAAGTTTAAAAGGAGTTGAATAAGATAAGGAATAATTATGAATAGCCAAATACTCTTGGGAAAGATATGAATCCATCTTATCCCCCCAGCTATGGGCTAAATAATAGAAGTATCTGGAAAAATTATTGTTATTCTCAAAAAAAAAAAATTATTAATGCAATAGTCACTCACAAAAAAAATTATTTTTACAATGTAAAATATGTTTTGGCTTTAAATTACATCCACAAAGGGTTGATAAGTCATAAAAAAAACAAATCAATCGCTCAATCAAAGCCCATCGCCCCATAATTTTATTTCAATTTGCAGCTATTTGATAAATCTGTTCATGGGCACTATGTTTTTAATATATCATTAAAAAACAAAATCAATTGTATTAATTTTCACAAAAAAACATAAATATCCATAATTGCAGAAAGTGTTCAATATTTCCAACAACAGAGATGCAGTCTACCAAACCACATTCCATCGACAGAAAGCCTAGTCAAATCATGCTGAAAATACCAGTTCTTATTTGATCATTGAAGTTAAGCAGTGTTGATCTTGGTCAGTACTTAAATGGGGAAACTGCTTGGGAACACCAGGTATTGTAAATAACCTACAATCTAAAATATGTTTTGGTTTTAAATAACTACAAAAGGTTGATAAGCCATAAAAAAACAATCAATCCATCAGCATGAATTTTCACAGAAAATCTTAAAACGTTATATAAATATCCATAAGTACATAAAATGAGCTTAATGAAATTTCCGACAATGGTGATGCAGTCTAACAAACTACCTTCCATTAGTTGTTGACAAAAGATATCTTCTACGTTATCAAAGACATTTTTCAGATTTCGGTTGGCAGAAACAAAATTTTCACTTTTTTTTTCCTTCTACATTTGTGAGAATGTATTTACATGGGATGCTTTTATATTTGATAGAAAGTTTAAGATAGAATGTATTTACATGGGATGCTTTTATATTTGATAGAAAGTTTAAGATAAAATGTATTGACATGGGATGCTTTTATATTTGATAGAAAGTTTAAGATAGAATGTATTTACATGGGATGCTTTTATATTTGTTTTCGTTTAACATCAGAGATACTTGTCATATTGAAAATTTAAACAAATATTTTTGAATTTTTCACTTTCGTAGCCAATCAGGGTGCAGAATAAGTAATAATCCTACATTAGTCCTTCCAACAAACACCTACACCATCAACACTTTCTGTAGTGAAACTCTTTGCAGATTTTTTATTTTTCTCTTCTTTTTTCCATATGTACAGAGTGCAACAAAAATACCTTCCACATCTACCAAGTCATTAGGTAGACGAACACACCATTGCCACTAATGTCTTACCGTTATATGGGAGGTATTTCTACTGCACCGTGTGTGTATGTGTGTGTATATATATATATATATTAATCAATTCACCTCAAGCAAAGCAATGATGTGACTAAGATGCAATGAGCTACTGGGAGTGGAAGAAAATGAGACGAATTTAGAAGGAATGAGAAACCCAATTTTAAACAGGAAAAAATGAATAAACCTCTACTACTGTTCAAAAAGTCTAGATTATATATATATATGTGAACATATATATATATATATATATATATATATATATATATATATATACCTCATTAAATAATATATATATATATATATATATATACACACACACACACACAAGTATGGGATTGGTGTGTACAGAATAAATTCCAATGACCAAAAAAACTATTCTTAAAAGTTCTCACTACAGAGTCAAGCAAATATAATTTATTCGAAAATTAAAACATGTTTATGTTATAATTTTCAAATAAATTATATATATATAATAAACAATCAAGAAAAATCTTTTTATCTCATGTAAGGAATAGACTATTTTGGCAGACAAGAATAATTTCTTAATTGTTTATCATATTGCTCTGTATAAATAAAATACATTGAGTTCTCTTTTGTGGATCAATTTTAGTATTCCTTTATTACCAAGATGCACTTGGATTATATGCACACGGATTTTATTTTACCTTTACTAAATATGTGTGTGTGTGTGTGTGGTACTTATTGGAAAGTGCTCAATATCAGTGATAGAGTTAACATATTCATTTGTATGGATATGAGTTTGTGACCCTGGGTTTCACACTTTTGCTATGATGATCCTAAAACCATGGAACCCAGGGTCACAAACTCATATCCATACAAATGTGTGTGTGTGTGTGTGTGTGTGTGTGTGTGGTGAATAATGATATATAAATTGCAATGATGATCCTAAAACCATGGAACTCAGGGTCACAAACTCATATCCACAAGTGTGTGTGTGTGTGTGTGTGTGTGTGTCTCTCTCTCTCTCTATATATATATATATATATATATATATATATATATATATAGTGAATAATGATATATAAATATCAGGATGATGTTAGGCAACTGAATGACAATGTTTGAAAAACTTCTGTTTAACACATTTCACCCTCTAGAAGGACTTCATCAAAGTAATACATACACACATATATGAGTTAAATATCTATGGTCAGGAATTTAGACAATCATTACTGACAGATTAGGGCTCTTTTAGACAATGGCAAGTTGATAAAACTGACGGAATAAAGACAGCAAAAATACATTACTTTGCTAAGATTTCATCTTTTACATGAAAGTAAAAAATGATATTTTCCAACATGACAACACCCTGTTATATATCATGTGCAACAAACAAGTTCCGCTGAAGACTTTTGCAGTGTTACAAGATTGATCTTGACTTCCAACCCACATCTAGTTGAGGTTGTATTTTATGTCACTAAGAGTCACACTAAGTACTGATTATGACATTTAATGTCCCTAAATATAAATAAATTTAATGCTACTT